ATATATATATAGCATTGTTAGAAAAATAAAGAAAGTCTTCACTCATAACTAATAACTTTGATTATATTAATTTATAATGTGACTTATAAGACTGTCAGTCTTAGTCTTAGATCTAATCAATTCATGGTTAACTCTTAACCAAGGTTCATCTTATTTCTCATCTCTTTTTAATTCTAGAATTAGATATTTTCAATTCTATAGAAAGAGATAAGAAATAAGTTAAACCTCAGTTAAGAATCGTGAAATTAATCGATGAAGTTAGTCAATCAGCGTATAAGTTGGCTATAAGTCATAGGTTTCACCGATAAAATTTAGAACTACCGATTCATTGTAGAATCAGCATAATTCTTCAATATTTTAATACATTTAATTACATATTTTCATACATTTCTTGATTGTCTTAAAATCGACTTTATTTCAAAGACTGGTATAATTAAAGAAATGGTGTAATTAAATTTATGAATTAATTGCGTGAATTGAATTTGAAATAATGGAAATAATCTTGATTTTTATTTCCAACTTGTGGAATTTGTGCGCGACATTTATATTATCTTAATTTTGAATTTAAATTAATTATTGATTTTAATATTTTAAAGTTATTTATTATTATTTAACTTAATTATATTAATTATATAAATTTTCAATTATTTAATATATAATTATTACTTATTAATGTATATATAGTTATGACGATAAATGATTATTCTGATGATTGTTTTATCTGTCGCAGATTTCCAAAGCCTTTGAGAATCTTTGCAGCGGTAGTGGCGATCATTATCATGATTATTGGTTTAGCCGGTAATCTACTAACGATCGTGGCGTTATGTAAATATCCTAAAGTTCGCAACGTTGCAGCGGCCTTTATTATAAGGTATAATAAACAAATTTATATATATGATTTTATTATCAAAATTATTTATAAATTACTTATTAAAAATTACTTATAAATTTACTTTATAAATAGCTTGTTCACACACATATTGAAGAAGCTTTTGTACAACAATATTGTGTTAATGATTATCTCGCACAAATACATCGCGTCTAAAAGAAATTAGGTCCTAAATTTTAGCATTTTTTTATAACGTGACTATCTCTAACATTTACGTCGATTAAAATTTTTATTACTGAAACACAGCTTATGCATCGCGGACTTTGTATTCTGTCTGTTGGTGTTGCCGTTCGATTCAATCAGATTCGTCAACGCCAGCTGGGCAGACATTCGATTCTTCTGCATCTTTGTACCCTTTTTACGTTATGGAAATGTCGGGGTCAGTCTTCTGTCTGTCGCAGCAATCACTATCAATAGGTGCGTGTGCTTTATCTTCTTAACTCTTTACAGTCGAACTGTCTGATCTAGCTAAAAAATTTTCTTCGATTCGATCGAGTTTAAGGAACTATTAATAATTCAATCTTTTGGTTTTGTAGATATATTATGATAGCGCATCATGATATTTATAACAAGGTTTACACGAAGTATTGGATAGCCATAATGATAATCTTTTGTTGGATCTTCTCTTATGGGATGCAGATACCTACGCTGGCAGGAGTGTGGGGTGAGTCACTATTTTATTATTTAATTCATACTTGGAGAAAGAAACTTCAATGACAAAAAACTTGCTAAAGTTACAAATATTTCAAGAATAAATAAAAAATATTATTTAATTATTTGACAGAATTAATTAATGAGACTGTTACATTAAATTCTTAATATACTGACTATACATGATTTTTTATAATTAAATATGAAATTAAATATATT